AATGACAAATGCATAATACTCTGATCATGTCATTATGACTTATATTACTCGTTGAACTTTGTACATTATTATCATTTTCATGTCACATACTATATAAAGAATATTGTATGAATATTGAAAAATTTTATTTTTAAATTAAAAAATGAAAATAAAGGGAAAAAATGATTCATAAAATTAGAATATAATTATTATACTTGTGCAAAGATAAAAAAAATTTAAATAAAAACAAAGAAAAGATTGTGATATATGTCACAATATGAAAACGAACACTTTATCATTTTTTACTATAATCGATAAAAATCTAACAAAATATAAATTATGTTACATGTTAGGAGACTATACGATTGAAATAAATAGCTGGCATGTAATAGAAATTCGATAGGAATTCGTGAAAGTCCATTTTCACAGATTCTGGTTCAATTTCGATGCATTGAAGGAATGTAAATTGAAATAAAAGGCCATCACATGGGATTGCACTTGACATATCGAAGTTTCGATGAAAATTTTTTCGATTTAAAAATATTTCAGAGATTCAAAGAGAAATTAAATTAAGAAAACAAACAAATGAATTATACTACTTTCTCTCAAATTAATTAGAGAAATTACGATGTTAATTATAATATTAAAATAAATTATAATACTATTACTATTGCAATACTATCTATTGTTAATACGTAATCTCGATTAACTCAATGATCTATATTTATCCATACGTTTCTTCGAAAAAGATATTCCATAACTCCCATAAAAATTTTATTCGAATCTATACGTCATATAACAAGCTCGATCGATTCTTTGATCCTCGATAAAACTTCACAATAACTTTCCAAACTTTTTCATCGTACGAATTAAGATCCATTTTTCTATTATTAATCATCACGATCAAGAAACCGACAATCAAAGCCTTTTCGACGATTCCCATTTATAAACTTCTTGATTAATCGCGAAAGTTGACCGGAAATTGCTCTTTTCTTCCTTTTCCTATTTCTACGCCTTAAGTCCGCCTCGAAATTCATTAGAAGCCAATTAAACATTTCACGTTGAGACTAGGAAATTTAATTTATCCCCTCTGAGACTAGGTATTCAACCCGATAATCGCCATTTTCGTTCCATTACTTCCGCTTTTATGGCTTCTCTTTTCCAACAATGGAGAAGCTTGCTTCGAAAATTTATTCACAAATTTATGACGATCGTTCGAAAATTCAAAACGATACACGTCGAAGAAAAAAATTTATAATGGAAATGATTCCATTTCAATTTTGGTTAATAAATGCCGTTAATTTACAGTTAATCGATGGAATTAATTGAATAATTCAATAATTTCGATAATTTTATGGTTATTTTTCTTTCTCAATCAAACAAGAGCATTAGAATTCATTTTATGACTTGTTCTTCTCTTATTTCTCAATTCTATTATCGTCTTTTATCGTTGCAACAATCGTATCAGAGCCACAGTAAAAATGTGTTCAAATTGTTGGCGGAATATTACTTTTTTACGACGTAACAATAAGAATTGAGACAGAGAAGAGAAGAATCCTTATAAGAGGATCGTTCTTGAAATCGAAGAATTGATCTAGAATTGTTTGTCGTGAATTTAAACACTGTATTTGTTTTTTTCATTGTTCCTTTCACTTTATCATCTCTTTGAGTTGATTTTGATCGAATTTTAAACTTTAAAGGTATATTAGAAAAAATATTTATATATTTATATAAATTAAAAATATAAATTCTTTTAAAAAAAAAGGTTAAATTAAATGAAATATATAATATTATAAAAAATATAAAATAATTAGAAATTAATATACATAGTGTATATAATTAGAATTTTAATAAGAAATTATTATTAAGTTAACCTGAATATGCAGTTTTTAATTAATCATTTTAAATTAAAAGTTACAAGCAAAGAGAATTTCTTCTGTAAACTATAAATATCTTTATTTTGAAGAGATACTTCATAAAGAAAATTAAATTCATGAAAAAGATCAATCCAATATATGGAAATTTTCTCATCAATATGAAAAATTCATTTTTTCGATTTTGAACAATGTATTAATTATTTTTATAATATATTTATTTTTATATTCTGCATTAAATTTCAATACGTAATATTTATAATGACGTAATATTTAAAATAAATATTATTTTTCTATCCATTATTTTTGTATTCAGTTATGATATCATGCATATGAAATATGCATCATCATTTTGATAATATAATATATCATTGATTCAATTGTTATTCGATATTGATAGTGATTTATTTTTTTTTATATATGCATTAAAATTTAAAGAAATTATGCTGTTTTTATCATTTTCGATTATATTTTATTCTATTATTTTTTTCACGAATTCCTTTATTATTAATAAAAGTTAAAAATGAATCTGGAAATATATCTGTGAAAAGGATTCGTAACGAGGACAATCCAATTTGTGCCACTCGATTTGATCACAATTAAGTTTTCTTTTGTCCTTTTATTGTTGGTTTGAAATCTTTTGTTCTTCTAAGTATTGCAAAACGAAAGAAAAAAACTTCATTGATAGATGGTGTTTGAAATTGAACATTCCGTTTCGTATCTTTTATGTTCGAAAAAAAAAGAACGAGTGTCGAAAAGTGGAGACTTCAAACCGCATTTTGATTGATAACACACTTGAAATCGATTGGAAATTGTGTACATTCAATACAAACAGTTTTATGGAATTTCTATGTTCTTTTTCATCTTCATGCTCTTCTTTTTCTCTTTTCTTTTTTTTTTTTTTTTGATTGAACTATTTGTATTCGTTTAAAAAGATTTAATGAAATGAATACAGGTTTGTGATTTCAATTTTTCTTAAAAAAAAAAATTTATTACGAAAAATTTTCTAATATAAAATATAAATTTCTTTTCTATTGAATTTCTATCGATATCTTTATTGAAAATGAAATATATTTCGTTTTTTATGTTTTTATTTATGATAAAATCATCTTCTTACTTATTTATTGCTTATCTCTTATCACTTTTTCTTGTCACATTTGACATTATCGATCTAGCTGAATGCAATTCTTATGTTTATCGCAATAAATCACAGAGGGAGTAACAAACGCTTTGATTTTTTTTTTAATTCAAATTCGATATTTCAAATTCGTGTAAAAAGAAAATTCTATGAAATATATCTATTCTTATATTTAAAAAAAAAATAGCAAATGAAGAAATGTTATATAATATAATTGTATAAATGTTATATAATAGAATATGTTATATAATATAATTTAATTTTATTAAAAGATAACATTAATAAAAATATCTTTATTTAAAATTGTTTAAAGCATACAAAAATATTTTTGTTTCAGTGAAAGCACATAAATATTGTGAATTAAACGGCACTTGGTTTCGACATCCAGAATCTGGTCAAGTCTGGAGCAATTATACGACTTGTGTCAATTTAAAAGATCTCAGTGTAAGTAAATTAACAAAAATATTTATGTTAAAGTTTTTTAATTAATTATATAATATTATTTGAAAATCACTATAAATATATAAAAAAAAAAGTTATAAAAATTTGATGAAATAAAAAATTAGCGAATATTACTGAAAATTCTCAAAATAGGAAATAAAATAAATAATAAGACAGAATAAAAAAAGAAACTATAAATAAAAAACGAAACAAATACAATATTTAAGAAAAGATTTTAAAAATAGATAAAAATTAGAGTAAAAAAAAAAAAAGTAAAAAAGTAAAAATCGATGAAGAAGAAATTCTCGATGAAAATTAACTGAATCAGAGTGAAAAATTTCTAAAAAAATTTCTAAAGAAATATATTGAATATTGAAATGTTAATAAAGAAATAGTAATAAATGCCATCACGTTGCAATCCTGAATAAAATCTCCTCTCGAGCGAAATTCTTTGAACGACAGCCCCAAGGATTATACTCATGATGAGCGATGTGATTTGAATGAGAGAATAAGATCGAGGATCAAAAGGGATGAAAGGTTGAAGAAAAACGTGCCAGCTTGACGGATGAAGTATACATATATAATGATGTGTAATAAAGGAAAAACGAATGATAAAACGAAATCGATATACAGAGACAAAAAAGAATTATTTGTTGGATGAACATGATAAGTATGTGAAAATAGAAATACAAAATCGTGGAGATTCTTCTCTTGTCTTCATTTTTCTACTTAGAAGAAAATTACTTGAAAGAAAAATCAAAACAAAAAATTCTTTTATAAACTCGTTTTATCCAGGAACTTTGTTCTTGATAAAAAAAAAAAAAAA